ACCCGGTACGCATGAAAATGGGACATTTACAAAGCAAAAGGATCCATAGACATCTCGTCGCGATGTCGTATAGTCTGGTTGCTACACTGGGTGGGTGTCGCCCTCCCCTCACTCAGAATTCACTGGAGTAGGCAAGCGCTTGGGGATCCTCTCGGCCGAGCGTCTCGGCTACCGTCAAGGAGTGCATGGAGTCGATAACACTGGCAGTTCCCGATAAATGAATCTTGAGAGTTCTCTTTTCGGCCAGTAGAATCGCGGTGACGCATAGACTGGCAGTGGAGACACTGGCTCCTTGAAGCGGCTCCAGTGGAGCGATTCTGAGTCGGAATATCCGACGAGTAGAAGTTGTCGAGGAATTAAATTTAATCTTGGTGAATTAAACTCGAAGTTAAACACATTATCGCACATCGAGATGAACTTCCCCTCAGTGATGGACCATCATAGGGCTTATTGGAGAGTACCATCTTGAAAATTTTGAGTTCCAGCTGCTGGGCTTATAGACCCATTGACTTCCGTACAGAGGAAGACTTCATTTGTGCAGGCTTTATTCGGTTATGTCTGTCATTCTGACGGTGTTGGTTTGGATCTCAGCTGTGCTCACGGTCGAGGCCAGAAGATTAACGTTTCGTATATCGGTCGACTCCAAGGGGCAGTCAGTACAATCTCACAGCTTCACTTACACTATACGTACATCAGTTCACATACCAACTCTGACGACTATCAGGGCATCGTGTGATCTGCCTGGTAAGCCCACTAAGTTCGTGGCGTCTAACCATTTAAACTCCACCTGGCTTCTACGCCCCATAAGCACCCCGTTAGGAGATGAATACATCATCATGGACTCGCACAGGCCCCTTCTCGCAGAGTTCAAGGCGGAATTACAGAAAGAGTGTGGGATTGCTCTAGAAGATGGTGATTTTGTATCTGCTGCTCTCACTATGTCTCCACCTAACACTTTCAACCGAGCTGTAAGCTTGTTAAGTCTGGGAACCTACGTGCAAGGCAACTTCACGCACTTTGTGGCGCTTGGAATAGACCCACAATATCCACCTCCGTATAGGACCCTGGTAAGATAATCCCTTTTTCCTTAATTTTCACTTATTCAACGGTTCGATTGAATCCTCATGATTCAATCGCGATAAGCTCAAATGAGTTTTCATTAAGTCGTTATGAGCTCAAATGAGTTTTCATTCGATCGTAATGATCTCAAATGAGTTTCCGTTGGATCGTTATGAGCTCAAATGAGTTTTCATTCGATCGTAATGAGCTCAAACAAGTTTTCAACTTCCCCCTACATCGTATCGAGTTCAGAGCCCAGTCAATTTCACCGTGAGACGCCCATGGGTTGCAACAGGGCTCAGATAATAGCATGATGGCAGACAGGGTGAATGGATCATAGGCTCAATCGGGAGGATGAGGCGAAGTGGATATCGCACTAGGGTGGTAACCCAGCTGACGTGGATGAGATATGGAGAATGGCTCACTGTGGTGAAGGTCGGGGATGAGGCGACAACCATGAACTAGGATAACAGTTATCCTTCGCGAAGGATGTTATCCTTCGCGCCCATCCTTGTTATCCTTTATCAATATCCCACAGGATGTGAGTCACAACCCGACGACCGTCGTAAAATTCCCCATTGTGGCGGTGTTCGAGATGGAGTAATTCCTGTGGTATAGACGATTGGGCACGTATGATGAAGTATGATGGAAGGATTTTTTCCGTAGTAGAACCACCCGACCTTGTCGCTATTGGTGTGGGACCGTAGTAGTAGTGAAGGAGATGTTGATGAGCTTGAGACAGGCTACATGTCCTTGGTCGGAAGCCTCACGTAGTAATTTAGCAGGAAGACTGTCAGGACCAGGAGCAGATGTGTTCTTGAGACGATGTAGAGCACGCTTATACTCTTCTAACCGGAATGGTGAGAACTGGTGGTAGTCTAGGAGTTGAGCTTCCGGGAGTTGTGTGCACGGTGGGACTTGTGCTTGCTCAGAAGACCAACGCGTGAACCGTTCATCATGGTGCGCTCGTAGTCGCCACTGCGATCTGGTAGCAGTAGGTAGTCTACTCCTGTAGATGTCTTCGGTTAAGTAAGTAGCGTACTTATTGGCAGCAGTAATACCTACTTCCCCCTCGATGTCAACTCCCTGTGGTACTGTGCACCCTACGCTCATACTTTTTACTACCTTCCAGATTAGTCGTGTACCTGTGGACAGTTTGCTGGTAAAAGTTTTCCATGCCTCCAATGTCGCTGAACGGATGGAAGAGGAGTATTTATGCGAGACACGCCGTAAGGTGGAGTGCAGACGGTCAGAGGGTAGACCCGAAGCTTGGCGGGCACTAATTGCACGCCGAATCCAATTTTTATTCAGCCTAAGGTCGTTTAGAGAGGCATTCCAGAAATACTTAGCAGCAGGCAGACTACCACGAGGGATACTCAAATTCGCTGCATGTTTGAAGGCATGCAGCAGGGCTGTATGTAAACGCGATGGGGGAGACTCCAATCGATAGTTGCTACCTGGCAGTCGAGAATGCTACGGTATTTCATCCAATCAGCCCGTCTAAAATTCCAAAGTTTACTGGTTGGCTTTGGGCCACCCCTGGTTGCAAACTTAGAAGCGCTACTCAAGCGAACCAGTACCGGTAGATGATCCGACGTTGCCATTGCATTGTCCAGGACTTTCCGCGTTCCAAACGGAAGTAAGCCCTTACTCAGAGCACTAATATCAATATAAGAAGTACCTTGAGGATCGAAATAGGTCGGAGGGTCTATATCGGTGACGCTGTTGGCGTAGCCACTCCGAGGGCAGACCAATCTGGGTGATGAGCATTAACATCACCCACAAGTAGACTCTTCTGACGTGGTAGGTCGGGTAGTGTGATGTGGTCCGAAGAGGAGATGGTTGGTCGGATATACAAGTTGGTAACCGTCAGGTCGGTCCCAGAGGGGAGGGAGAGGTGTACGCTCAGTGCAGAATACTCATAGTTTGTCGCAGATAATTTGACTAGTGCTATGCACACAAAGGGCGAGCACTATCCTAAACGCACTGTTCGTGCATCTTGCAAAAATAGTGACCAGCCTCAAAGAATTTAGTGATTGATTCTGGGAGGGTACTGGTCCTCGGGACGAGGCTGTGCTTGTTGTAAATAGGGAAACCTGACTATAGGGTCTCCAGCGTTCGAGTAGGTCACTGGGCTTTCCTCGTTTGCTCGTGGTTGTCATGCATACTCTAGGGCCTAGAGTCTAGGCAAGGAGGCAGGGTTATGGCAATAGTACTTTGTTATGAGGGTAGTGTTACTCAAGTGCAGCAAACAATTTGTATGTGTAGCTCGGCCAGCCGTTTCACTCGGAATGGTCATTCAATATTCGAGGTCGATTCAGGGCTAAGCTTATGAGTGGAGCATGTCAATGAATTTTCGTCGTAGTTATCCTTCATATCGAAGTAGTACGGTTATTCACTATCCCGTAATGTTCCTCTAAACCGTTCAGGGTGGGTATCCTACCAGTTTCCAATTTGGGTAAGTTCGGCCGCTCCGAGCAGCTCCATGTGGCCCTGATGGATCTGGAGTTTCCTAGACCTATACTCTCCAGTGTCCATCTCCACATCAAGCCTTGAAGAGAGAGACAAATTATTAGTAATATCAAAACGAGTGAGAGTTGATAGACTGACAACAATACTATCGCATACAATACAATAAACGTCTTATCATCACTTGTATAATTAGCATAGTAGCTAGGCTACACCTTAGTACAGCTATAAGATATTGCACGAGAGGGGCGATTGTGGAGTATCACGAGTAGAGCAGAGTAAAAGTTCTAAGCATTAAATAACACTCGTAATCAGGATCAGGAGAAAGATGCACATTGTCAACTACATACGTTGGTGATAACATGAAAATGATGCGGGAAATTTTTGTTGCTTTCTCTGCAGTCTTCCATAATTAGTGAGAACTCCTGAGCTGAGCTGATGAGAGCGAACGTATATTTCTCCACCACTGATCGTGATCACGGGGTATTTGCTTGTTGTTATCGTTCAGGAAGCAGCATGTAGGTAAACAAACGTCCATAACAGCTGCTAGGGCGGTCGAGGAGATGAACCCAGCCCTTGATGTAATTTTATGGATTACCTGTGTGGGGGAAATTTCATGTATCGATGAAAATGTGAAAATTCTAAGAGGAAATTTTGGAAAATTTTCGTTGGTTTCTGAGCATTTGTTGTAGATTCGTGCTGCTCCCGTTGTGAGTGCTCTCACTGAAAGCATCAGTAGTCGTTCGCCAAGTTGATCTATTTCGCATAGCTATTGCACACGGTGTACGTGTGGACAGAATGGCCTTCGACTTGTTCTGTGCTGTTGTGTTGCACAGTACTGAAGCCTACCTGCTTGTTCACGACACATTATGAGGTCTATAATTAGTGAGGGAACATGCGAGTTCAGTTGAGGGGAGCAAATGTAAATTCCAACACTGCCGATGACCTGTTGAGGAAATTCCTGCTGAAGATTCCTCCTAATAGGTACTATCGTCATTAGGAATTTATAAACTAGTAAGCCTTCGAAGATATAATGCTTGCTTGTGTAGGCCTGGTCGAGTAATCCGTTAATCTGAAAATACAATTACTATACTCAAACTAGTATATAGTTCATACATACAAACTACATAAAACAAGCATTAAAGATTCACAGCATATGATTATTAAATATTGCGCTTTGAGGCTTAGATATCTCTAACACGTCTGAGGCGTAAGATTTCACATAAAAGAACATCCTTGATCGACAATCCCGAATTTGACAACGTGTTTTTGAAGGATCTACTAGTCGGTGTTGGAAGTATCAGCCTGTGACATGACCGATGTAGTGGATACTGCCCTGCCCACGATCAAGTACATATTATTCCTATGCACACACAGTGATGGTATACTCATACATGTAGTTTCTATTCGTATTTGTATTGCGCTTTGTGATACTGCTGGCGTTAGTACTCCGCAGATTATTTCACGTGATAATGAGGCCCTCTAGAATTGAGCAAGTTGTATTTGCCTTGACTGTTGTTGGTCAACTCGTAAGCAGCCAGGCTGATATGAAGAGTGTTAGGATAAGTAAGTTGTCATATTTGTTGGCAGTAGTAGGAGTGTAGTGGTGTTATTAGGTATGAACAAGATATGGCCCTTCGCGAACCCTACGGAGACTTATCGTTATTATGATCTGCCCTTTTGTAAACCGGAAGTTATCGAGTCGGAGTGGATGAGTTTCGGCCAGGTGAGTACTGGTGTTGGAGTAGGAATATATGTTCGCATTCCTCAGCTGAGCTCGGGAGTTCTTAAAGCTACTCGTGGGAGTTCATATACGAATTAGGGTAGATGTGTAGGGAAACTAAGATAGATTTCCCTAAATTTCCTCACGATTTTCATATTGTCGCCAAGACACGTAGCTGCCCGTGTCCATACTGGTGACTCACCAGTGGTGAGCTCCACTGAGGTTTATGGTTATCATCAGATTCTGAAAGGGGACAGGCTAGTGAATTCGATATACAGTGTTAACTACAGAGAGGATGTGCCCAAGACAAAAGTCTGTCAGAAGACCTTCACGGAAGGGGAGATTGAAATTTTCCAGGCCGCTATAGAGGACAGTTACATGTTTGAAATGTTCGTAAGTCGACGACGACGATCACGTTTTCTCCAAAGGTTTAGATATCCTTGTTTAGGTCGGTGGGCTGCCAATCGTGAGGCCTGTGGGGGCTCTAGCCGTTGAGGATGAGGATGTTGGGACTAGCAGCAGGTTGGTGAATATGGTGCCTTTTGGTGATGGTCCATTGTGGACAGTGTTGGCTTCCTCAGCTCAGGAGTTTCCGATACTGCATTGTGATAATTCAAACACGACCTGTAGGGCGGTATAAGCATACAGAAACCAATAATAATTTCCCAAAATTGTCATTCAGCATTGAGAAATTATGTTCCCTAGTATCGGCAAGGAGCTGATGAATGTTCCTAATATAAGATTTGGATGAAAAATTCTCTGAAAAATTCGTTCCTTGTCGTTTATATGATTCAAACAAGCTTCCTCGAAGGAGCATAAAAGATTTTTGGATGATTCCTTGGACGTGTTGGTCCAACACCTGTAATTGACCATGTGTATATTTTCCAACACTGATTATTATCTATAGATATTTCCTATTGAACTACTTCGAGTTTACTATGGGCTATAATGACGGCGTAGTGGTGTCGGTGAACATGACAACAGACATGGACTTGGAACATGTATTCGAGATCACAGAAGTTGATGCTAAAACCGGCGAGCTGGAGGTGCCCTTTTATTATTCAGTTAAATGGGTAAGTGTTAGCCTCATGTGTGATGTGGAACGAGTGTTCAGGTTGAGTCGCCAATCACTGCATCGGAAGCCTTAGAGACCCAAATGAAGGCGGCCTTGATGTCAGGTGCCGATCAGCCTATTGATATACAAATATTAGCCATCATTAACTCCTTCGTCTTGATCATGCTAATATTGTCATTGCTACTGCTGGTCATCATAAGGGTAATGACCATCTGTTTTTCGATCCTTCACTACCTTCCCAGGTGGTCCGTTCGGACCTCTCACGTTATCTGGCTATACCTGATGAGGAGTTGGCTGCAGTTGAAGAGGAGACTGGATGGAAGCTGCTCTGTGCTGATGTATTCCGACCACCTGTACATAGACTCTTCCTGTCGGCGGCAGTTGGTGCTGGTGTAAGGCCGATCTACGCCGTTTCTACTTGATGCTTTTGCCCAATATTTTTTTCGATAGTCTACCCAGTTCTTACGAAAAAAATGCCATTTTTTAATGTTCTTGTCACCTTTTTTCAGTGGATTACTCGAAGTTTAATTGAAATGGTTGGTCATTATTCAGGCCCAGCTCCTGTTGGCTGCCGTCCTGGTGGTACTGGTCGGCTGCATTGGCCTGTATTATCAGAGGGGTGCGGTCATGACGGCTGGGATCATCTCCTATCTTATTACAGCGGCCTCAGGTCAGTGACCAGGGTCGCATTTATTTTCTATCTGATTACTCTAGGTGGATACGTATCAGCACGGCTATACAACTCCCTGGGTGGAGAGAAGTGGGCTTGGAATATCTTCGTCACTGCTATCGCCTTCATGGGGCCAGCTTTTGGTATATGGATGATCCTCAATACTGTTGCTATTGCGTAAGTAGTACTAGTAGTAGGATAGTCTTATCCCTATACTACTGTATAAAGATTGACAGGAATAGTACATTATAAGGATCCATCTAGCTTTGAGGAGTAACATCTCTCAGGGTTTTTTAGCAATGTTCCTAGTGTGGTGAAATTCACATGAGGAACTGATTGAAGAATGTGTTCCTAGCCATGTGGACCCCTCTCGGGAACATTATAGGTTCCTGGATGATTCCCTAGATAGGTACAACTCTACAGCAGCATGGCCTTTTGCTACTATACTCTTTATCATTACTATGTGGGCATGTATTACCTTCCCGTTGACTGTAGTTGGTGGGATTGTTGGTAGGCATAAGTCTATGAAGAGGAAGAGTGAAGCGGGGGGAAATATGTTCCCATGCAAGACCAACAAGCTCGCCAGGGAGATACCCTCCTGCCACTGGTATCAGAGTTCTACCTGCCAGATGATAGCTGCAGGCTTCCTACCATTCTCCGCTATCTATATTGAGCTCCACTACATCTTCAACTCGGTATGGGGTCCTAAGCTCTACACACTGTATGGTATACTCCTGTTAGCATGCGTATTGGTATTCCTAGTGGCTGCTGCTGTTACGATCCTCTTTACGTATTTGCATTTGAATGTCGAAGACCATAGATGGTGGTGGAGATCCTTTATGTCGGGGGGTTCAGTGAGTGCCTTCTTTTATGTTTACTGTTTTTACTATTACTTCCAAACGAGCATGACAGGTCTATTACAGGTGTCTTTCTATTTCCTATATTCCCTCATTGTAGCGTATGCAATCTTCCTTATGTTGGGTACTGCCAGCTTCCTGGCAACCTACTGCTTCGTGTGGTATATCTATTCGAGAATTAAGGTAGATTAGCATGCACCGAGGGGAGGGGAAATTTTGGAGTATGCTAATACTTCAACTAAGGGATTTCACGACGGTAACATTCAGCAGTAAGTGTAAAAGACATTATCATTCACGGTGGTAGTTTTTGAAGGAATTTGTTGTTATTATTGCTTGGTGATGATATAAGGTTTATGAATAGCGATGATACAAGTTTGAAAGGACTTGTTGGGTTACAACACTCCTCTGTATCGGTTCCTCTTAGTTGATATTGTTATGATGGTTGGCATCTTCAATAGCCTCTGCAGCAACAGTAAGATGTCAGGCATGGAGTTCCTAGGTGCCCTCATTTCTATCGTTGGTTTCTATAATGTGGTCCCCGTAGGTGGGGTTGGATATCCCACACGTGGGTGGCCGAGAGATGGTAATGTGTTTTGGTGCTATGAAGACGGGTTATGAGCTCATCCAGAGCCGAATTATAAGGTCCTACCCTGGGTAGCAGAGTCCTATGCTGTTGCTAGTGCTATACCGCTCGCTGGTACAACTCTACTTTATCAAGCTATACGGTATAGATATGATGAAGTAATGAGCATTATGGATGTATACCTGCGCATTCTTCTTACATATGACGTTGTATCCCCCTCTCAATGCTATCACACTAACCTCGGTCCTCAGTAACTCTCTATATACCTTTTTATGTATTCCTGGATGACCGGTGGGCTGTTGAAGTCTACTCCCATACGTGCTATTCTCACTGTGACTATGTGGCTATTCATCGTGCAGTGTGTTAGAACTCTCCCTGCTATGTTTGGTCATAGAGGGGATGTTCCTGCTCTCTTCGTCATTCTAGTGCCTGCTGTTGTTGCTGCTGGTGTAGGAGCGGCATGAATGCGGCATAACTGTGAAGAGAGGGAGAAGGCTGCCTATGGTCCTCTAGTCTTCTCTGGAGCCCTCCTCATCCTGGCTATGGGTGTCAGTGTTATAGAGGTCGTCTACGGCCAGTACTGCCACGATCATTATTTTGGTTAGCTTCCCAGTTTTTCATGTGATAATCCATAAACTAGAGCAGATCGGTATTCATCTATATGGTGTAATGGTAGCCTCTATCCGGCATATCATCAATGAGCCCCGTAAAGGTGCTAAGTTGGAGTACTGTGGTGGATGGCTACCCTACCTTAGATTAGCTTCCTCTACTTCCCATGAGAGTATCCCTAGGTCATCGACACCTAGTGTGGTGCCTGCTGACTCACCAGTTCGTGGAGGTTCGGATAGATATAACCTCAGGAAGCGTGTTTCCAAAACTCCTACTGGTATGGAGGATTCTGCGTTCGGCGAGTAGGTATGTTCTAGTTTTGGTATGAAGATGTTGGTTTCAGTTTATACGGTTGCAGAAGCATAATTGATGATGATCTCTCTTCTCGATGTAGTTTTCATGTGATATGACAGGGGTGGCGTTGTAGTGTTTATGTCAATGGGAAGGGTATCGTTCTGCCTTGGGCCACTGCCTCCTAGGTCAACGGCTATACGAATTGTGAGATCTGTGAGTTGATATTGTCGCTGTTTCCTTCTCTTATCCGCTGTTTCCTCTCGTAAACTTGTTGCTCATTCAGAGAAACGATGTAGAGCTCCAACGGAGATCAGTCAGGTCACTCTCATGGACAATTGCAACCGCTCTCTCTAAGGAGGTAGGTAGACACTCGACCGACGCCGACTAGGTGATAGGGATGGGTGCTGAGACGTGAGAGGAAAACAACGCCACTCAGTTGGTACGAGGTCATGTACCCGTTGAAGATGGCTCGTTTTGAATATGAAGATTAAGACACCAAAAGGGACCCTTCTGTACACGGAATAGCAGTGTATGATGGGCATAGTGGAGGTGCGCGTCTGTAGGACTAAGTGATGATGAAATTATACTAGGTGACGATGACTAGGAGCTCCTTTGAGGGCAGGTGGAACCATTGCACAGTGTGTACGTGCCAAGCCACCAGAGGAGGCCTTCACGACATGATCGAAACAGAGGAAGGCATTCATACACACAGATGACCACTCCATATAGCTAGCTAGTAAAGGCCGTGTCGATGCGGCTAACGGAGGGTGATACGCCTAATCGAGGCGGAGTGAGACGGGGGTGGAAATCTTGTTGGGAATTTTCATGTGGGTGTGGAGATAAGGTGCACGCCCGCTTCGCCCTAGTCCGACTAGCAACACTAGGCATAGAGGAAAGATGGAAGTAGGTACTGACGAAAGGAAGCAATAAGAGAGCTCAAGTAGATCGAGCATAAACCAGAAATAACGAGGTTAGTTTATAATGCACGTAAATCATCAGCAGGGCATGCTGATGCGCATGTGTGTATCATAGGAATGAGAGACAGCGCGATAGGATCAGAATTTTGAAGGCAACCTAGTTGAGGTCAGTGGGATATGACGAGGCTCTAGTCCTACCGTCAATAGACTCTATCGAATAAAGTCCCTCTTCATGCAGAGACACGCAGAAAAATACCAAAAGTGTCGACTGGACCAGAGACTCTGGTCCAGGGTGAATATAAATACCCTCATTGCGGAGGGAACGCTGCAAGCGGAGTTATATACTGCACTTTGGATCACTTCGGGTGTGCGTGCATGTGTGTGTGCGTACGGGTTATTTCTGTATAACCAGAGATAGTTCGAACACGGCGAAAGAACCAATCGTGAACTGAATGGATGCTTATCTTAAAAGAAATATGGAGACATCGAATCGAAATTGTCGATTCGATGCGTCTCCGAGAGTATATGTTTGAAGAAACCTTTTTTGTGCGAAAGATGCCGAGTCTGGGAATCGAACCCGAGATCTATGTCACGCTACAGGCCCGAGTACGATCGACAATCCAACGCTTAAACTCTGACCCCATCAAGTTCTAGAGTGGAGTCCGCAGAACACGGACAAAATCTGCCACTTCGTCGAGAAGGCCTAGTGTGATCGGCATGCAATCAACTGTGCATTTACGGACCGTAAATGCTCAGTTGATTGCCTACCATCCCATACCGTAAATGACGGTGTTGCTAGGTAGATGATGTTCCTCAGCCTGAGAACTCCATTCCTCCGCTCGTTCTCCAGTCGTGCATGGCGATTGTGTGAGGATATCCTGGTAATCAGGATACTGCTCGCTTTGCAGATGACGACCGAAATACACTTGATTACCATCCAGTTTACTGAGACACCCGGTACGCATGAAAATGGAACATTCACAAAGCAGGAGGATCCATAGACATCTCGTCGCGATGTCGTATAGTCTCGGTGCTACACTGTGTGGGTGTCGCCCTCCCCTCACTCAGAATTCACTGGAGTAGGCAAGCGCTTGCGGATCCTCTCGGCTGAGCGTCTCGGCTACCGTCAAGGAGTACATGGAGTCGATAACACTGGCAGTTCCCGATAAATGAATCTTGAGAGTTCTCCTTCCGGCCAGTAGAATCACGGTGACCCCTAGACTGGCAGTGGAGACACTGGCTCCTTGAAGCGGCTCCAGTGGAGCGATTCTGAGTCGGAATATTCGACGAGTAGTTGTCGAGGAATTGAATTTAATCTCTGTGAATTAAGCAGTTTAATTTAAACTCGAAGTTAAACACATTATCGCACATCGAGATGAACTTCCCCTCAGCGATGGACCATCATAGGGCTTATTGGAGAGTACCATCTTGAAAATTTTGAGTTCCAGCTGCTGGGCTTATAGGCCCATTGACTTCCGTACAGAGGAAGACCTCATTTGGGCAGGCTTTATTCGGTTATGTCTGTCATTCTTACGGTGTTGGTTTGTACCTTAGCTGTGCTCACGGTCGAGGCCAGTCTGGCGAGAATATTAACTTTTCGTCACTCCAAGTTGCAGTCAGTACCACAGCACAGCTTCACTTTCACTATACGTACATCAGCTCACATACCAACTCTGGTGAGTATCTCGGCAGCATGTTATCCGTCTGGTAAGACCAGTAAGCACGTGACGCCCAACGATTTCAACGCCACCTGGGTTATACGCCCCATTAGCACCCCGTTAGGAGATGAATACATCATCGTGGACTCGCACAGGCCCCTTCTCGCAGAGTTCAAGGCGGAATTACAGAAAGAGTGTGGGATTGCTCTAGAAGATGGTGATTTTGTATCTGCTGCTCTCACTATGTCTCCACCTAACTCCCCCAACCGAGCTATGAACTTGTTAAGTCTGGGAACCTACGTCCAAGGCAACTTCACGTACTTTGTGATGCTTGAAATAGAGCCACAATATCGACCTCCGTATCACACCCTGGTAAGATAATCCCTTTTTCCTTAATTTTCACTTATTCAACGGTTCGATTGAATCCTCATGATCCAATCGCGATAAGCTAAAATGAGTTTCCGTTGGATCGTTATGAGCTCAAATGAGTTTTCATTCGATCGTAATGAGCTCAAACAAGTTTTCAACTTCCCCCTACATCGTATCGAGTTCAGAGCCCAGTCAATATCGCCATGAGACGCCTATGGGTTGCAACAGGGCTCAGATAATAGCATGATGGCAGATAAGGCGGATGTATCATAGGCCTAATCGGGAGGATGAGGCGAAGTGGATATCATACTAGGGTGGTAACCTAGCTGACGTGGATGGGATATGGAGAATGTCTACGCCCACTGTGGTGAAGGTCGGGGATGAGGCGACAACCATGAACTAGGATAACATATCCTTTGCGCCCATCCTTGTTATCCTTTATCCCGCAAGCCTAGCCATTGGGATAACGTCAGGTTGTGAGTCACAACCCGACGACCGTCGAAAAACTCCCCATTTTAGCCGTGTTCTAGATGGAGTAATTTCTGTGGTATAGACGATTGGGTACGTATAATGTTGCCTAGAGGGTCTATCGGATCCCGGATGGTGGGTAAGATGCGTGTTACCATATGTCCTGTAACATACATGAGTAAAAGATTTCGTACTATTTAGTAGTAGTAGTAGTAGTAGTAGTAGTAGGGTTCCGGGTACATACACTTGATGTTCATCATTTGCGCGCGCGGGATGTTGCACATGTCTAAATCTTGCAGTGACCTTGGCAAGGTCACCTTGCCGATGTAGCTGTTTTGTATTGGGGATGTCTTCACTGAGGCATCCTAGGTTACAGTCCACGTATCGGAATGGACTAAGTAACCTGTCATCGCTGCTTTAGAGTTAGCATACCGTCATTATCGACGTTGTGATTCGAGTACGTGTCTCGGAAGGAGCCACATTATTGCTCGTATGAAGGTTGCCAAAGAGCTCCAAAAGGGTGTCAGGTTTAAATATCAAGTCTGAGTAAGGGATTGAACGGTAAGTGGCGGCGCACTTCGCAGTGTATTTTGGTATTGTTGGATTGGATAGTTGAGACTCTCAACTTGAGAGTTACATTAAGCGACTCGGAGATGGGTACGAGTGTGTACTGAGAGGCTTAAAGCCTTCAGCTTATTAGGGATCTAAGGAAACTCGCTGCTAAGCATAAAGTTGAAAAGACAGTTGTTGTATATTGTTCAAAACACTGTTGTGTTATTCTGGATGCTAGGCAGTGTAAACGGCTAAAGCGTTGTATCATTCTAGTGAAATTTGAAAATTTGTGCGATATGATGAATGTAGAGCAGGGATTCTTTCAGAAATACTTACTGTTCGTGCTGTAGGTGTATTGGTTGAAGACAAGTATGAAAGAATGTGTATGGTAGATTGATTGTTGGAGATATTAGCGATTTTTCACAGTAATCTGTGTATTTGTTGAGCTATTGTCAATTGACTGTAATTTTTTCTTGAAATCATTTCTATGAAATGTAGTGTCGCTGGCGGTATTGCTATGATTCACGTACGAGGTAAGCAGCCGAACGGGAGGATGTCCTTTGGCGAACACGTCCTGTTGAAGGGGACGTCAATTCTTCTTTTCTCAATGAGCTTATGAACGGAGTTTTTAATACAAACTTTCATGAGGCTGATACACCCTATTGGGCTGGGGCTTTTGTGGCCAGCAACTGGCACAGGTGAGCAAGACCTTTCAACTGAGTCGACTGGAGTACTCGAGGCCTAATGGTCATCGCTTCACTTCAGTGGATCGAACGGCTCATGCAATATTAGTTGAGCGTTCACTTGATCAGATAATACTGTACGACGCACAGCACCAGACGCCGACAATGCGGTGCTCGATTTCTTCATCGGATATAAAGGGGCATATCAGTGTTCCGAAACTCCGAGTCAGAAATTGGGTCAGATATTCGGGTGTTTAAGCTACGCGTTGGGGTGCCAGCTTTGGGTACATGCCTGGCTGAAGGATTCAACATGGGTGATTTTGACTCTCAATGTGTGGGGATCTTTGGGAGATACGGGAGT